ATGCAAACTAAGTAACAATTGTTAAATAAGCTGAGAATTATTTCTTTTCTGACACTTACTGCTTTGTATTTTGGATAAAATTGTCTCTTGTATTATTTAGCCTTAACTAAGCAGACTGTTAATTCTCCATACCACCTAGGACTAGGCTTTGAAATAAGATGGCTGATGGAAGCATTGTTTTATGGTTTGCAGATATTGGCAAAGGAGCATGTTCACACCAGTCCATGCCCTCAGTCCATGAATGATGTCAGCGCACAGTAAATTGCGACTATGCGCTGACATCATTCATGGACTGAGGGCATGAATGATGTCAGCGCTGCAGTAAATTGTGACTATGTGACCTTGATGGATGGCCAGCAATTGCCATATGTGCAGGCACCTGGATTAGAAATTACCAGCATACTGAGGGACAGTCCTGATGTTGTCAGTCTCATAGCTTTTGTTCAACTGGAGCTCCTAAAATGGGATTTTTTGTTTAAATTAAATTTAATAAATGCTCACTATGCAAACTCAGAAACAGTTATTAAATAAGCTTAGGATTATTCCTTTTTTGACACTTGCCGCTTTGGGTGAAATTGTCTCTTCTATTTATTAGCCTTAACTAAGCAGACTGTTAATTTTCCATACCACCTAGGACTAGGCTTTGAAATAAGGGGGCTGATGAAAGCATTGTTTTATTGTTTGCAGATATTGGCAATGGAGGATGTTCACACCAGTCCATGCCCTCAGTTCATGAATGATGTCAGCACTCAAGAAAATTGTGACTGTGACCTTGATGGATGGCCAGCAATTGACATATGTGCAGGTACCTGCATTAGAAATTACCAGCATACTGAGGGACAGTCCTGGTGTTACCAGTCTCTTAGCTTTTGTTCAACTTGATCCAAAATGGGATATTATGTAAAAGTTAAATTTAATAAATACGTATTTTAGATTACTGAGTGTTTATTTGTGCTACATGCCCTGCCCACCTCATCCTCCTTGATCTTATATCAGTAGCTGAATATAAAGGTTGCAGTAGTGCTCAAGTGATGTCACAGCGGCTACTTGTCCAATCGTAGAGATACCATGTCATAACACCTAGTTGTATCAGATTTGTGACGCAATTAGTTCTGCTTGAGTGAAGCCTGATAATAGTAGTAAGAAGAGGAAGACAGTTTTCACGATTTAAGAAGCGTGAGAGAAAAGAAGGGTATATATTACATGCTTTATCTTGCATTGATGTGCATTCATTCTGTTGTTTGAAGCCACGCGTGTAATCAGTCTGTAAAGCATGTATTAAACATATCAGCGTTGACAATTATGTGGAGGATGAACAACAAATAATTTCAGATTTCATAATTGCTAGGGTAGTAAATAACAGTTCGATCTACTTTGCAGTAATACACTTCAGGTGTTGGGCACTAAAATTTATGAATGCCCTGATACACATTACGGTTGCCATCCCAGGCCCACAAACATATCACCAGTTGATCGTTCATAAAATGCAAACATAAATAACGAAGTATAGAGCGGCTCTCATCAAACAAATATATTGCACTTTATAAATGGAAGCTGTGGTGTAGATGTACATCTGTTGCTCCTGCCAGGAATCGAATCTTGACAGTGAAGTCTGTAGCCAGTAGCTGACCCAACTCCTACTGCTGGAAATTATACACTGAAATTGATCACTACATTGTGTAATCATTATTTGTATCTCTGTTAGTCTCATGATATACGTGTAGACTGAAGCATTTGAGGAAAATGAGTATTTCAAGTTGTGACCAGCCAGTTCTTCTCAAGGCTATACAGTGTGCGTTCAACTAGTATAGGTGACATAAGGAAGCTTCATTTTCATTTGTTATGTAATTTAGTAAACCCCTTTACACTTAGAAAAATCAGTATATGTTAACATTGTAACATGTAATTCATCTACGTATATGTGTAACCGGCAGATCAGGTTATGACTTCAAGATAAATGAAAGAACAATTACAACTGACCATATTTGCACACTGATGTTATAGAATATGCATGTATGCCACCACCAAGGTTTGAATGTGCATGAGATAAGGCTGTAGTTGTAGGATACACTTTTTAGAGTATGTGCAGAATCCCTTGTTTTACTGTGTGTCTGAGAAAGTTTAAAATATATTGATTATATTTAGCAGAGAGTACAAGTTCTGCAGCATCATATTACTTCATTCCTCTTCTGTGCAGATATTCTTCTCAGTATGCTGTTCTCATATACCCTGTGTTCTTCCCTTGATGTTTGAGGCCAATTTTCAGACCCATACAAAACTACTGGGAAAATTATAGTTCTGTATATTTTAAGTTTTGTGGTTTTTACAGTGTATGAGAAGACAAAAGGTTATGGTTTACATGTTTTACCCACAGCCTAAACCCATTCAGTTTGAGACAGTAAAAAAAACTTGAAGATCTGGAGAAGAGATCGTTCAACCCCATCTGCAAGATATTTAGTAATTCAGTACACACTGTTTGATTACTAACTCACAGTTAATAAATTAATGGAATTTTTATATGAAAGAAGCACAGACAATAATGTCTGGTTCCAGCAACATGCCAAAGACACTATATAAAGCTGATATTTAAACAACTGAGCTATGAATGAAATAGCTTGGCAAGGAAAAGGAAGAGGATGAGCTCGTGGAAGATCTAATCAACTGGTTTCCTTTCGTTACAATTTGAGTAATACAATTTAAAGCATTTGTTACCAAATTTAATGACAGTTGGTTCAGGCATTCAAGTCTTATTAAGGTCATTACCTCAACGATTTGAGAGGCTTCAGTGTTGGTATTACTGACGAGAGGGATTTCTGCAGTGCTCAATTGATATGGTCTCAGGAAGCGTGATATACATACCAAGTTTCATGAAGGCTGGTAAAGGTGTTAACAATTGTTAGGGGGCAATTAACGGACACACTGCAAGTTGATCTCGCGTCTACTTCTGATATTTATGAATATGGAAATAGGGCAAAAACATATGCAAACAACACAAAAATATACATACAAGAAATCCTACTGATTTATACCAAAAAAGCATAATTTTATAATAACACTACCTGTAATAAAACACTGTAACTACTTGTTAAGCAAGTGTCCAGAAGATAAATGTTAAACATATTTACATTGGTACATATTTCATTTGCAGCTAAGGTGAAGTGAATAGGACATTTATCAAGATATCTTATTACAGACCTGCCATTTCTTACTGAAAATATTTTAATTGTTTTTAGGCAGAATGACTTTGAAGAGGAAGGGCGAAGAAGAAGGCTATTCTGCAGCCAAGAGAGCCAGACTGATTGACTTGGAAGATACAGAAGAAACTTTTGGATCGCTTGGTAATAGCACGAGTAGTGTACATTCAAATTTGCTTCTAAATGAGAAAGGGGATGATAACGATGATGTTGTCCTGGTGTTAGATACTGACACACACCTTCTGTGGGAGGTGGCTGAGTTATTAAATGATCTCAAACTGTAAATATCTAGTTATGTAAACAGAAACCAACAGTCTGCTATTTTTCTAGAACACTCACGTATGTCAGAACTAGTTGGAAGTTGCATGATTAAAAGAAATGTTGTCCCTGTGCTTAATTAGTTAAGCACTGCCATAAAGACATACGGGGGAGTGGAGGTATATTTCCACCATTCTTGACCTCAGCACTAGATGGAGGTGAGCGGTCAGCTTCACTTCCCTCCTGCTTTACCCACAGTAGAAATTGCAGAAGTGGTATATTACATAAACTTCCACTCTTCAGAGAGATTAAAAAATAGGAATATTCAGAGGACCCAGTATGAGTGTTCTCACTGTGTGAAGGAAGAAATAGCCAGCAGTACGTATGTTTGGTGTTGAGCTACCAGACATGCCAGATACACAGGAGTATAGCTTTGATTGACAGTGTTACATTCGTATTAAAAGCAGAATGTATACTGTCTACAAAGGCAAACCTCTGAGGGGATTTACCCAAATTCTTTAAGAGCAAATTAAATGCCTCTAATGTTACAATAGCATCAGGAAATATACAAATGTGCCTGCTTTGAATTTCCTCGTGCAAAGCACACCACTTGTGTTATTTCCTTACCTTTCCAACACCTAAGTTCCAAACACGATGCATTAACAAATGCAACAGTACACAAAATTTGTTATAAATTAAGATGATAAAAATCAGATAAGGAATTCTCAGAAATATTACTCACACACACTTTCCTTTCACTGCAATTAAGTAGCTGATGCAAAAGCTGGAAACCCCGTCAGTATGTATGCATAAGGAAACCAATAAAGTAATAGTAGAAACTGGGCTTTCTGGACACTATCCATAGTAGTGTTTTTTATTTAAAACAATATTTTTTGATACTGGAATCTGCCTCCATCCTCAGATAGGCCTAATTGTAGCCCCTATATCCGGTTACTAGGGTGAACACAAGGCAAGAATATGAACGAAATTGTACATAAACTATCTGCGGTAGAGAGGACTGAGGAAGAGTCTAGTCTCTGAAACTGTGTTTTAAATAAAATAAATATCTCAGCACGGAGGCAGCATGCAGTCTCTGATCCATTGCTGTAAAAGAAAACCAGGGCAAAGAATAATGTCCAAAATATTAATAACTGTGTTAATACACCATAGTCACGAACTACCTAATTTTATTTTTGCTCTCAGAATCTTAATGCAAATCTGCCATTTCTAATCATATATATTTATTATTTCAGGCAGAACCTTCTCGCAGGAGTGCCCAGAAAATGCTGATAACTATATTTTGATTTTAGGCATGGAGGAAGAACTCGTGAAAGAAATGGGATGATCTGTTTAGTGCTTTAAACTTGTAATTGTCTAATTATATAAGAAATGTATTCTCATTATTTTAAATTAATAAATCTGTAGTTATGTAAACAGAAACCAAGCCTTCATTATTTTTTCAGAACACTCACATGTGTCAGTTGCATGACTAAGAAAAATGTTTCCCATATGCTTAATTAAGCACTATGCCATGGGGGGGGGCATGGAGGTGGATTTCCACCAATCTTGGCCGTAACATTAGATGGATGTGAGTGGTCACTTTCACTCCCCTCCTCATTTATCCCCAATACAGACTGGATAGGAGGCTGAGATGGGGGCTTTGCAAACTGTTGCTTATCAGAATGAGAACTGTTACAAATACAGAACCGCTGTGTTACATTGGCATCATTGCTAAGTAGAATTTTGAAAGCTGCTGCTTGTTTGTCTGCTTCAGTAATTAAATGATTATTTGAAATGCTTTCACGTTGTAAGTTATGGGTATGATGCTCACATATATGAATTCTGTTGTTCAGTAGCTAGGAGAAGTGTTATCAAGCAGAGGTAGGTTCGTTTTTGGCACACAATAGCTTTACTTTATTTCAGCTAAACTGATCAAGAAACAATTAGGGATTTTGTCATGGGGGTCTGCTTTGTTTAGTTAAGTTTAATTTTTCCGTTTTTAATCTGGTAAGCACTGCACTATGGAGACGTGTTGGATGGCCTGTGACTTGTCAGCTTCATGCCCTGGCCACTTCACCACAAGGTAAAGAGCTCCAGTACCCATTGGATAGGATGCTGGGCTGGACATTGCAGAAGAGAGACATTCCTTGCCCCAGTTGGGAACCAACTGAGCTCTCTTGACCCCTGTGATTTCTTGTTATAAAGTTAAAATTACCTCAAGCACAACCTTCGTAACAGGTATTTTAAATCATTTTATAGTTGTGGCAAAACAACTTGGTTTTCGCCTGGAAAATGGATGAGATGAAAATATTCGTATACAATCATGATAAGTTCATGCTGTTTATTAGAACTAAAATCAGCTAGCAAAAGGCCACGGTTGATGGGTTCCAACCATGGCGGCCTGAGTGTGGTCAAGTGGGATTTGTGGTGGACAAAGTGGCGCTGGGGCAGGTTTTCTCCGAGTACTTCAGTTTCCCATGTCAATCTTCATTCCATCAAGTTCTCCATCATCATAATCACCTGGGATAGGTACAATAGGCCATTCAGTGGCCGACATGCCAAGTGGACCCAGCTGGATTCCACCCCCCACTATTCAAATTAAAAAGAACTAGCAAAACTTAGATGAAGGAGTCATTATATTAGTTTCTTTACTAGAGAATATTCCTGTCTTTTGTCTGGAATAAAATAAGCTTTTTTGTCATGTCACATTAGCTGAAACTTCAAAGAACAAAATTCAAGCTATGGAATTAAAATATACTCATGTAATTAAAAGAAATGTAGTGAGTATTTGAACTGCATCCAGAAAGGCAAAACTTTGAGAGGATTTACCCAGATTACCTGACTGTAAAGTTACAATGGCATCTGGAAATGTGCGTGTGCGCTTGCTTTGAATTCCCTTGGGCAACAGACACCACTCATGTTAGTTCCTTATGTTTCCAACACGTTGGTTTCAAAACACAACACATTAACAAATGCAATATCCAACACTGTACAAAATTCCTTATAAGTCAAGAAAATAACAACAGATAAGGAATTCTTGGAAGTATGACTAACACTTTTCTTTTCGCTACAATTTCAGTATCCGATGCAAAAATAAAAAAACCTTTGGTATGTATGCATAACGAACACATTGGTTTTCTCGACTACAAATTTGTTCACTTATCGCAGAAACTCGTACAGCCATTGCATTATTTTGTCCATATGCTCCTGGTTGAGTGATTTTCAACATTGCTGTGTTGCTTGGGCAGAATCCAAAATGCAAAGTTGCCCGCATCGTGGCCTACTTTTATCATTTGGATATAGGAATGAGACAAAATGTGGAGAGAGTATAGACCATTTCCTGATGGCAATTTAATCTCGACGCCCACTGATATCAATGCCATTCACTTTGCGTGTCCCCCACGAACTCGTACCAACTTGCGAGCAGCGCAAACACACCTAATCATTATATCATACATGTGTGTGTGTGTGTGTGTTTCTAACATCTTTTCTTAAATGCGTTCATATTGCAAGATATGGGTATAACGGTTACATGTATGAATTGTGTTGTTCAGCAGCTAGGAAATCTATCGTTTAGCAAGGAGACCTAGGTTTGTTGTTGGCACACAATAGCTTTATTTTGACTAAACTGATCAAGAAATAATTAGGGATTTTTTCCTGGAGTTTCTTTCATTTTGATTAAGTTTAATTTGTTCATTTTTTTTTCAGTTAAGCACTGCACCATGCAGACATATGTTGTCAGGTTCATGTCCTGGCCACTTCGCCACTAGGTAAATAGCTCTGGTACTCATGGGACAGGATGCTGTGTGGGCCCCACAGCCAGTTTTGGAACTGCAGTGAGTATCTGAAATGCATCTGGGATTTCTGTTGTGATACTGCACCTGCTGACAATAGTGGGGAGTAAATTTCATAATATCCTCAGAAGTGGCCTGAATAATTATCTATGTAGGGAAGTCAAAAATTATCCACACTCTTGTTTTTCCAATCTATATATAGAAAAGTAGGGGTTGAAGAAGTACTTCACTTTTCTATATAGTCTCCTCCCTTTTCGATGCACTTGGTCCAGCGGTACAAAAGCTTGTGTATTCCCTCCACGAAGAAGGTTTTCGGTTGGTCGCACAACCATTTATGCACCGCTTCCCCCACTTCTTTGTCCGTAGAAAATCAAAAACCTCTTAAAACATCTCTGAGCGGTCCAAAGAGATGATAGTCGGAAAGGGCGAGATCTGGGCTGCAGGCAGGGTGTTCCAGCACCTCGAAACCCAAACGGTTAATGGTTTCAACGGTCTGGCCGCCCTTGTGTGTGTTCATTGTCATGCAACAACAACACTTTCTTCGACAATAGGCCAAGGCGTTTGGTGCGAATTGCTGGCTTCAGATTGTTGGCCAGCAAATCACTGTATCTTGCACTGTTGATCGTACACCCTTTTTCCAGGTAGTCTTCCAGTATAGGCCCTTTTGAGTCCCAAGAAATGGTTAGCATCACCTTTCCCACGAAACATCGAGTCTTGAATTTCATCTTCGTTTGCGATCCCGGGTGTTTCCAAGCCATACTCTGGCTTTTGGATTCTGGCTCATAGTGATGAACCCACATATGAATTTCAGCCCCTGACACACCTTCCAATCAGAGAAATCGGATCATTATTCTTTGTTAATCATTGGTGCACACTGCTAGCAGAGCGGCCATGTTTACACTGTCACAGCATCAAGGAAAATGATGCCATCAAGGTAAAACTTCGATCACGTGACCACAGTAGTACCAACTCTAACAATGCATGTGTAGGAGGCAGTGTGACAAACCTGAAGATGTGTTATGGAGAAAGTGCGGATAATTTCTGACTTACCCTCGTATAAACCATACCTAGTAGTCTGTTACATGGATGTTGGTCATTTACATGATATGACAAAGACAATGTTTTGTATAAGCTGGCCGATACTTTTTGGCCGGTGTCCTTCACTGTCAGTGCATGAGAGCGAGTCTATGCTATGAACTTCATCTTCAGAGAGAACATTCGTAGGATGGCTGCTTGTGAGGTTGGAAGTTGCTCTCCTATTGCAGGATGAATTTAATTGGAACTTTAGTCCTATCAGTCACAATTCAGGCTTTTTAACATCCTATTATGATGAACTAATTTACTCACAGTATGCTGCACTACAATAGCAACGTTAAATTAAAATACACATCAGCCTAACACAATACTAATTATTTGTCTAACAGTTCCACTCCAGACAAGTCACTGTTTTCACCGAGTTCAGTTGTATCATTATCACTGGAGTCGCTGTCACTGCTGTCTTCAGAACGTCGGATGATAATTCTTTCTATAGCGTTCTCTCTAATTCCCTCTTTTTCGATATATTCCTTTTCATTCTTTTTGGTGCGGTCACAAACTTTTCCCCAATTCTCTATTCCAAATTCACTGAACCATTTCTCACGCTTCTTTGCCACGTCATCCAAACGAAATGAGACATTTTCTGCCCCTACTGACTGCTTAACATCAGCCCAAATGAGTTCAGTCGGATTCAAGTCTGGATGATAAGGTGGAAGTCGTAATACCGTGTGTCCGTATGCAGCCATTATGTTGTCCATTATAAAGTTTTTGTGGAGGGGTTTATGTGCCTTTATCAGGTCATGGAGCTGAATTTTGAGCATTCCATCATGAAATGGCACATTGTTCACTGTAAGCCACTCATCATCTTGGTCTTCGTGGTCTGGCTGGTTGGTGCCTTATTAAACTGCACGTTGTGATATGGTGCATTATCTACAACAAGAACTGATTTTGGAGGCAAATTCGGAATAAGTTTTTCTGTTAGCCACTTCTGATAATTTGTCGCGTTCATTTCCCTATGATAGTCCCCGGTCTTGAGATGAGATTTAAATATCAACAATGACTTGGGAATGAAGCCGGTTCTGCCTCCCGTGTGCACAATAATCAGCCTCTGGCCCTTCGATACGGGTGCCATGTACCCTGATGGAGTGTCATCCATCCAGCTTTTAGGTCTGGTGTGACTGCTGTGAATGAAGGTCTCATCCTCATAAATTATAGTCCGACCTTCCTCCTTGTACTTCTTTATTGCACGCAGACATGCTGCTCTCTTTGACCTAATGCCGTCCCTCTCGATCAAGGCGCCCGTTATTTCACATTTTCTTCCATTTAAAACCCATCTTCCATAAAATCAACTTCAGGCTGGTACTACCTCCCTTGAAATTTATGGTTTCCCTGAGTTTTGGA